TCACAGCTGTCTTTCTGCCACACCCCTGATCTTCTGGTAGGAAAGATCTACACCTAGCCTTCTCGGACAAGGGCGAAAAATCTCGGAGGTCCCGTGTGCAAGTTGCGCACGTTTAAAGATCCCTTGGTGGTCTAAAATCGATAAGAGTAGGCTTCGGCCGCCACCCGGGCAAAATTCAAAATTTCCTACCAACTAAAAGTATTAGGTGTGTCCAGCGCGCTCATATGACCTATACAGTTGCGAGCGCCGTAAAACACTTACCCAAAAAAAAAGACAAGTAAGTATAATGCTATAACCAAAAACAAATAAATATAATGTTATATCTTACAATAAATAAATATGATAATTTCAGAAATAAATAAATATATAATACTATGGCCAAAAACAAACAAATAAAAGACATGAACCAGAAACAGACAAATAATAAATATAATACTATGACCAGAAACAAATAAATGCAATACTATAACCAGAAATAAAAGAAATATACTATCATGAGAAACAAACAAATGTCACACGTTTAACCAGAAACAAACAGATATAATACTGTAACTAGAAAAAAAACCACCCCAAATTTCACACTATATACCAGACACAAAGTTAAAGTAAAAGCAAACAAATTTCACAATCTCACACCGAAACCAGATGACCAGCATAATGAAACCAAAAAAAAATTTAAAAATGGGCATAACACACCCAGATAGACAGATGTGTCTCAGGTGTGAATCATACATACCTGAGGTGTCAGTTTGACAGCAAAGTCTATCAACTCTGGCGAGCGGATACAGTGAAACAGCTGAGACAAGTTGCTCACGGACAGACTGCGCACCAGCAATTCTTTCAAAGAGGAGACGGCCCAACCTATCAGAAAATGCATTATTAAAATAATGTAAATAAACAGAATTTTCCTTTCTTTCATCTTTCAACATGGCAACGGGTAATTGAAACAAGACAATTTGAAAATTTTTAATTTTTTTTTTCCAAATCTTATATAAGTGCTTTCAAAATATTATGCAGTTTGTAGAAGGAAAAAATATTGCAACGTTCAAAAAAAAAAAGCACTGAACAAATCAGATTTTGGTTGTTAAAAAAAAAAGCAACAAGGTACTACATCTATAACATTACATTAAAAAATCCAAATAAAAACTACCGTACTAGCTGGGTACTCAAAAGAATCGATCGTTAAGTCATTGTGGAACAGTGCACACTGCTTGTGAACAAAAGCCTCACTGGTCTACAATGGCATCTCAGAAGATGCACTTTCCCAAGATTACATCTAAATGAAACTAATGAAAAGCTCAAAATTAAACTACAGGGATAAACCACAGAAATAAAAAGGAGAATAACAATGGCTATGGCTAGTTTCACTAAAATGAGCCCAATCCTGAAAAATATAAACATCTCAATGAACACCAAAATGAAAGTCCTGAAATGCTATGTTTGGTCAACCCTTCTATATCATTTATGGCTGTTAATGCTGGACAATCACTAAAGCCAGTGAAAATAAAATAGAAGCAACAGAAATGTGGTTTCTTAGGAGACTGCTAAGAGTATCGTGGAAGGAAAAGAAATCAAATGAGGTAGTGCTTGATGTTGCCCACGTGGGACGCTCAAAGTTAAAAACAATCAGGAAACCACAAATGCAGTTTTTGGGACACCTGAATAGACATAAGGGTCTTGAACATCTAGCTCTCACTGGCAAAATTGAGGGCAAGCAAGGCAGGGGTAGGCCCAGAACAACATACTTAGGGAACCTAAACAAATGGGTAACATGGAAAGATCAGGGAAACGTAGCTTTTTTGAGAGCATCCGACCAAAGGAATGAATGGAAAACCATGATCGTCGATGTCTGTCGCAGATCTGGCACTGGATGATGATGATGATGACTCCTTAATATAAATGAACACCCTTTAAATGATTCTGAACCACAGTTATTTTTTTCAAATTTGAAAGTTAAGTGGTTCGATAAGTTTTCGGCGACTAAAGTGATGAACTTTCACAAATATATTATACAGTCAAACCTTCCCTGACGGCCACCTCTAAAGATGGACACCTGTACAAACGGCCACTTTCCATTTCCCCCCCTTGCATTTTTTCTATATAATTTAACTGTGTAAAACGGGCACCTGTCCAACGCGGCCGCGTCCACCATATTTTAGCACACAACCCCTATCACACTAAGCAATAACACCTGTCTTAGACGGCCACCTTAGTGACTCCATTACGTTTTGTCATAAATTGTGCATTGGCCCCTGGCGTTGTGGGCGAGCCGTCATAATTCAATCACCTGTCGTTGTTGTTAGGTAGTCCCTCCAACCGATCATGCTGCGTTGGCCCCTCCCGCTGTTGACCAATATCTACCAATTTTCAGCTGCTGGTGAGGTAAGCGTGTGATCCCTCATAACCCATAAGCCCCGCCCAGAACTCATAAACAAATCGAAAGTGAGATTAGTGGTCACTGTTTACCCAGTCTGTAACAAAGTAACAAAGGACGTCAACATGAACTTGTGACAGAAGCGTCGCTCGTTCTCCGAGTGGTGGCGACCCCATGTGTTCGTTTTAACAAGGCACTCGGTCTTCTTCGTCTGATACATTTCGTTTTAATGTCACCCTTGTGCAAAATCAGCAACAAAATAAAAATTACAAACAAAATATAAACCAACAACAACAAGGCGGCTACTTTCGATTAGGACCTCAGATGGGAATGGTTTGTTTTCTTCAAGAGATCAGTCCTGCCTAAGACGGCCACCTGTCTTATACGGCCACTTTTCTCCTTGACAATGGGTGGCCATCTTACACAGGTTTGACTGTATATAGATGACTATGACTGTTCGTTTTTCTCTCATACCGATAGTGTTATGCTCTCTAGCTGTGTATCTGTTACTGGAAGAAAATTATAGTTCAATACTTTGTTGTTTTTTTGCTATAAAACCATAGCCAAGGTCAATCTGCAGGTCCTCAATAAAAATCAGGAATCATCATTCAAAACAATTAGTCTAAAAGTACTGTAGGCTGACAAAGTTTGTCATCTAATTTCAATCAAAATGATTTTGGTTTTTGGTTTTTTTGTTTTGGTTTGTTTCGCTTTGGTTTTTTTCCAGAAAATTTTTAAACAAGATAAATAGAGTTCAGAGCATGACAGACACCATCAATGTACAATATAACATCAAAAAAAGAAACCTGATAACTTTACGATTTGTCTTTTGATCTCACTCACTTTCCGACGTAGACATCTGAAGGTTACTCAGCACACAGAGCAGGCCTAACTGACATTTAAGGTTGACGCTGGCCAGGTACTCTAATGGCACCTCTTCCACAACCTGGTGATTCCACGGTAAAAAAAAAATTGTTAAAAAAAAGCATTTAACGCCTACACCAACACAATTTATATCATTTAAGAGGCGGGCTGCTTTGATCCTGCACATCAGGGCCAACCCGGGCTGAGTGGGATGCAACATCTCAGTAAACAAGATGGAAAAGCTACAGTGGAGTCCGATCCAACCAAATACTGTTAATCCAAAAACGGTGGTAGACCAAAAGAAAAGAAAATCCCTGATTTTTTTTTTCTACTGTTTGAGCAACCTCTGTAAACCAGCTAAACCCAGTGAAACGAAAGAGAATCCAACAGTCTTCCAGACCCCATTGTATCTTGTAATTTACAATTACATATACTATTTACGTAAATACTCAGAAACTCGCAGCAGATCAAGCAGAAGCAGGGTGCTTCCACACAGACCTTCAGGACTCCTCCATACCCCACCACTCCCTTCCTCATAGTGCAGGGTTGGATTCATCCCTTCAGAATGACATTAAAAAAACTAAATAAAATATCTCCTTTGAGTGAGAATGTCAAATCTATTACTCTTGCACACATGAACAGGACCCTTACTACAACATGAGACACCGTGACATAAAAATAAACAGACTTACTTTGACCAGAGAGAGTTTACTGGTGGAAACTTTCCGCTCCACTTTTATGGCTTCCAAAGAAATTACGCTGTAGGAAGATCAAGGCAACGACGAATATGAACATATCTGAAACTCTTTTCATCTACACGTAGTGTAGTTATATTTCACTCTATTATATTGGAGAAAGACAAAGACGATGATGACAGTACCTGAAACATACTTCTACAGCTAAAATTGAACATAATAATGATGACAATGACATCAACCGATAATTCGCTAATCTACAAGTGCATGTACTTATATTTTACTCGGTTGGAGAAAAGACAAAAATAATGATAATGATGATAGTCCCTGAAACAAACTCCTTTTTTTAGTAAGGTTTTGCGGCGCTCGAAACTGCATAAGGCCATATGCACGCCAAGGGGTGGATATCAACAGAGCATTCCAAAAGGGGAATTAGGCTTACTCTGCTCACCTCTCTAGCCTCAACAGCACAAAGTCTACTTCAACTATCCAGGCACCCCTGGAAATAGCAATTCAAAGGAGAGTGACAAACATACAAAAGAAGTAGAGGAAAAATGACAACAGTAAGGATGAGGAAAGAAAAAGCAGCAGTTCCCCCTATGTTGTTCCGGCACAGATGAGCATGACATTGATAAATCCGCCCATTTATAATTCTACTGTGCATAAGAACATGTCATTATCCCCCCTTTGGGAATGGCCTAAAGACAAACTACTTCTACAACTAAACTACAATAAGAGAAAAAAAAGGATGATGACAATGGTAACACCTGAAAGTCTCTACTAGTAGCCTATGATTAGCTATATTTCACTCTGTGTTGGAGATAGAAAGGCGATGATGATAATGACAATACATGATACACGCTACTTCTACTTCAGTTGGAGAAAGATCATAATCATAATGACAATATACTTTAAAAAGATGACAAACTACCACAATTACAGTGCGTTCACTTTCTCATGCACACATTTACACAGCTTATTGCACTGAGAATTTGTACATAGAATTTGAAATGCTATTGATCATCAGAAATATTTTTTCCTAGCAAAAATAAAAGCCGTTATTAATTTTTTCTCTTTGTTTATCATCAAAAATCCATCCCGCTTGAATATACAAATTAGAATAATTAACACTACTGAGGTCGCTGTGTTAATATGCAGTGACTACTTTACACAAGTGCACATATTTTCTTTGCGACGCACACTTTTTCTGTACTCTCAAACCTATGAAAATTGTGCTTAAGAATGTCAATGTCTGAATGCTTTCATTACTGAATTGTAAAATTGAATTTTCAAGTCCAGAATCTTTTGATGTTTCAAAAAGATCAAAGGAATCCACAGCTAGAATAAACTGTTCAATGTACAAATTAAAAGACATTAAAATATTAAGGTCAGTCAAAATATAGACTGCTTGCAAAAAAGAAGAGGAAGTAACAGGAAGGGGAAAGGGGAGAATAGAGGAAAGGTGGGATGAAATGAGGGAAAGAAAGAGGGTTGAGAGAAGAGTGAAAACATGAGGGGAGAAGGGAGAAAATGGATGAGACGGGGGAGAGAGGAAAGAATGGGGGAGAGAGGGGGGAGAGGATGGGGGAGACAGGGGAGAGACCGGAAGGAGAGGAGAGAGAATGGAGGAGTGAGAATGGGGGAGAGTGGGGAAAAAGGGAGGGGAGGAAAGAAAATGGAGGAGAGATGGGAGAGAGGGAGAAGATGAGAAGATGGGGGAGAGAGTGAAGAGAGGGGGAGAATGGAGAGAGGATGGGGGGAGAGAGGGAGGAGAGGGGAGAAGATGGTGGAGAGACGGGAGAGAAGGAGGAGAGGAGAGAAGATGGAGGAAACGGGAGAGAGGGAGGAGAGTAGAGACAGGGGAGAGGAAGGAAGGGGGAAAATGCAAGAGGAAGGGGGGAGAGAGGGAAGAGAACAAGACGTATGTTATCCCCGGGTTGGATGACTCCACAGAGTGGCTGAAACAGTCCGCAACAAACCTTTAGTTTTTAATTTTAGTGGAGGTTTTTACGGCAATCGCAACTGCATAAACTCATATGAGCGCCAGAAGATTAGATGTGTTACAAGAGAGTAACAAGCATAAGAAAGAAGAAGGGGAGATAAGGACTTTAGATGTTTGATAGGAAAGAAGAAGCAAACCACACCAGAACACCCGCCAACCACCCACTCCCAACAAACCTGTCAAGAGTCTCAGCATGGGACGAAGTGACAAAGTTCACGAGTCTTTCCAAGTCTGTCTCCACACTGCCACGCTCTCCTGTCACTTTCCGCCTTTTCTTTTGGGGAGAGCTGAAAAACACCAGACCACATTTCCCTGGTAAACTATGCAGCCTGATCAACAGAGTAGGCTTGACAGAATTTTGTTTTCGTTAGAGTTTTATAGCACATGCAACACAATAAGGTCATACAGATCCTGAATATTAGAGGTGTTATAAGACAGTAACAAACACAAAAAAAGGAGAGATAATGAAGGCAGATGTTTGATATGATAGGAAAGGAATAGCGAACAAGATCAGAGCACTCACCAACCACCCACGTTAACAGAAAGAATGTTCTTGACAATTCTGTCAGAGTTAAAAACAATAATACTTGTATCAAACACAACAAACAAGTATGTCAACACAACAAACAAGAGAATCATACACAATTAACGTTTTGTTAGCTAGCCTAGAGTAACAAACTTCTATCTGCTCAGTACTTAGTTTTGAGAAATTTGATGTCAATTTTTTAAAATTTTCACAACATGTCAAGCTTTTTTTAATGCAATTCTTCGAATGTCTTGATAACGACTCTGAATAATCTTACGACTCTGATAGAGCAGAAAATACACTTGGTTTAAGACCTCATGGTCTTAGTAACTCAAAACAGCCAAAAATGGAAGACAGAACTTTGTAATTCTAAGGTAACGAACTGTTTCAAGTGCAATTAACAACAGTTTTAAAACAGAGAACTACATCAATAAATGCGACAAACCAGTACACATCAAATGCAACAAACAAATGTATCAAACAAACACAACAAATAACTGTATCAAACACAACAAACAACTGTGTCAAACACAACAAACAAACGTATCAAACACAACAAACAACTGTATCAAACACAACAAACAATTGTATCAAACAACAAACAATGGTATCAAACACAACAAACAATGGTATCAAACACAACAAACAATTGTATCAAACACAACAAACAAACGTCTGACTACCTGCTTTGAGATAGGTGAAGGTCGGCCAACAGAACTGTCCACAGCCGGGAAGACAAGCATTCCTGGAATACTCTCCACTCCTTCACCTCAGGGTGTCGCAGAAATGTCTGCACTTCTTTGTAGAGCGAGGTGTCGCTCTCACTGTTAGTGTGTGAGTGTGTGTGTGTGTGTGTGTGTGTGTGTGTGTGTGTATGTGTGAGCGTTTGTGTGTGTGCGTGTGTGTGTGTGTGTGTGAAGGATAGAGAGGAGGAAAAGGGAGAGGATGAGGGGTGGAGAGGGGGCAAAAAGTGGGGGGAGGGAAAGAGAGGAAAGGAGATAGGAAAAGATGGGATCAAAAGGGAGAGAGGAGCGAAGGACAGTACGAGGAGGGGAGGGAGGGAGAAATAATTAACATCATGTATTATTCCTGGATTCACTCTCAGGGAATATGTGAGTACAAACAAATATTAAATCTCTTTCTCTACTAAATAGAGACCATAGAGTTACCCCCTTTTAAACTAGAATCCGTACAAGGTCACGTGACACGGAAACTTTTGAGTTTTTTGGCGGCCATTTTTAATGTGGTTAAAAAGTTTGTTTACATGTGAGTGGGCGTGTCTCTGCTCTTATGTGTTGTTTTATTTGATTCTAACGTTGTCTTTTAATCCACAGTGATTCTCTTAAAGGAGCAAGCATGTGAAACCTCTAGTCCCTTTCTGGATTAACGTCTGATAGGTTCCAATCGAGTATACGTATATATATATATACACAGCTGCTTGGAGCTGTGATTAGAAAGCACAGCTGAGTATGAATTATCACCTGTAGACCTAGATCTAGATATCTAGATCTAGAAATCACAGCTGAGTATGAATTATCACATGTAGATCTAGATCATTTAGATCTACGCAGATGATACACAGTTGTACAAATCTGTTCCACCATCAGATGTTAAAACCTTGCCTACCACCAAAGGTATCTGCATTGATGATGTCAAGAACTGGATGATTGATCATAAGCTCCAGCTTAATGAAAACAATACTGAATTTCTTTTATGTAACCCAAAGAAACGCCATATCCCCATAGACGTCTAGATCTAGATCATGTTTGTACGATGTGTAAGCAAGTGCGTGTGTGTGATAAGCACGTAGATCTCGGTGTGTGTGTGTGTGTGTGTGTGTGTGTGTGTGTGTGTGTGTGTGTGTGTGTGTGTGTGTGTATGTATGTGTGTGTCTGTGTGCATGTGTGTGTACTTTTGTGAATATTGTTCATACATGCATTTATGTGTAGATTCTAAAACACCTGGAGCTGTGTGGGCGATATAGAAATGATCAGCATTATTATTAGTAGTAGTAGTAGTAGTAGTAGTACTTGTAGTAGTATTGTTATGATTATGATTATTATAATAATAATAATAATTATTATTATTATAATTATTATTATTATTATAATTGTTATTATTATTATTATTATTATTATTATTATTGTTGTTATTGTTATTATTATTATTGTTATTATTATTATTATTGTTATTTTTATTCTTATCCTTATTATAACTACATTCTTAGAAACTTTCTTTACAATAAAACGAGACCAGAAAGGATGGTTTATCAGTGTACTAACAGAGCCTCCAAAGGAACCCCTCTTTCATTTCACTGGTAAGAAAAAGATTGATAAGAATTTTGACAGATTAAATCCAGATTTATGTTTTGAAGAAAATATTCCAAAAGATTAGGCTAAGAACCTGGTCTGATCAAAGCCTACCTTTCAGTACTAAAAATTGATACCAGATCTAACCACTGCAATTTTGCTTTGTCTTACTTAAACATCACAAAATCCAAGCTAGACCTACTATTCTGAGGTACTAATTTCTCTCACTTGACAATGACTCACTGACTTAAGATATATATTAAACATAGTAGTATAACAGTATCATCAATCATAATTATTTTAATGGGATGATAATGATGATGATGGGCGGGAGCAGCCAAAGATAGGCTCTTGTCTAAAATGTTTGATGTAATGTATAGGATATAAATATCTAAGCTTATTATTATTAGAGACAAAGGAAACCATAGTCAGGGTGCGCTTGGTGCTGAGCTTGTCATATGCACAGCATTTAATATAATGTGTTTGGCACATTTTTTATTGCACGAATGAATTTAAACAACTCATCACTGCTTCTGTCACGCAGTTCAGTGATGTCTGTTTTCTTTCATTACATTATCTATTTTTAGTGCATAATGTGTCTTATAGACACTCCGGTTTCTTTTTTAAAACATAAAGAGCCATCAGTAAGGTTCAGGGCCATGTGAAATTAAGGTTGACTAGCAGCTAGATCTTTTTCACAATGGGCAGGAAATGTCCTTATCAAACTAAAACAGTGTACTTTTTATTGTTTTGTTTTATTGAATGTTGACCAAAAATACCCAAATAAAGGTTTTTGTTTCAGTTATCTCTACACTATGTAGCAAAACAATTGACCAGGCTACAAAACAGCATTTAAGTTCACTTTTTTAATCTTTAGTGAGTCCAGAGTAGTCACAGTTGTTTTACTACCCGGTAATGTCCAAAATTAGACTTACTTAAAAAAGCAATATTAGGAGCTTTAGTTTAAGTGCTGTATATGGTCTACTTTATTTCTTAAAATCAATATAACCAAAGTTTAATGCCAACATAAGAAAACACTACTTATTTAGTATACTTTTTTTTTTAAGTGAACATATGAATGAAAAATACAGTTTCCTGTTCAAATGTCACAAGGGAAAGTTTAACTCGCTTTTTAAAATACCAGTACATGTATTCATCATTTGTTTGGCTGAATTTGCTTTATCAAGAGCTTCATAGCCTTCGTACTCCTAAAGGCTGAAAAACTCTAGAATGTTTTTCCTATGGCTCTTCCTGATATAATTTAATGCCAAACTCACATATTTGAGGGGGGTGTTGATATTGGGATTTGGGAGGAGAGATAGGTGGGGTGTTTATGGGAGGTTCCCATGACACCCACATCTTTTCATACTCCTTTTTAAAAGTTCTATTGGCCCTATACACTTTGATTCAGTCAATAAGAAATAAACCACGTCGTAGATAAAGTGCTGAGGAAGAAATAATTTTAAAGGGGTTGTTTTTTTCTTCTTTTTTTAAAAGCCTATATCTCTATCTATTTAATAATACATTTATGTGTAGATGTAGTTGTAGAAAGAATGCTGTATTATTGCTATTTAGTAATTTAGATATAGATTTTCTAGTGCACCGCGGCGCCCATGTAAAAAAAAAAATCAACAAGAACCAAGCCTCGCCTATCGCATATGAGTGAGAGAGAAAACATGCCTAGCCCATTGCTTTAGCATGAACTCCACACAACTTGCCACAAAAAACATGGCGGACGCCGCTGTTTAATGTGGCCGTCGCGCAACAAGGCGAGAGAGGGGCGTGCTGTATCTAGTGCCTATAGTGTACATCTACGATAGAGACTTAGTCCCAGTCAAGAGAAATATGTGAAGCAGCGTGGTGAAATCCGTCGCTCGTCAAAATACAGAAATGGAAGAAACAGGTATTTTTCCGCCAGTTTGGACATTTTTTTCAAATTTTTATTTTTTAGCTCAACCTCTTTCATGTCTAGATAAAAACACATGTCAATGTGAATTTTACTGAAGAAAAGTTGATTAAAGGTACAAAATTTGTCATTTTTTAATTTCCAAAGACTTCTTAGCTATTGGGAGTTACCAAAATATTGGGGCATTTTTCTAGTTAATTTCACTGCTGAAATCAGGCGACCTCACTTCCTTTAAGCGCATATATCTTGAGTTCTATTAAATATAGATGGACATATATATTTCATTGGAAGCAAGACAAATAAATCAACTTTCAGATGATACCAATAGCTCCAGAAGCACAAAAATTGATGAGCACCTGATTCCACTGCGTTGTGACACATATTTGATAACAGCAAACATAAAACAAGTAGCAACAAGACAAAATGAGTCAAATTCTACCATATAACATTATGTGTAAAAATTCAAAGATCTGTTTAAGCCCAACAAGTGGGTGAAAACAATATCAGTCTAGCAGCTGATATTGAGTAAAGAGAAGTGCATTGACCGAATAATGGTAATTCAGTGCTGGGGGAAAAAAAGTACGACAGACAGACAGAAACAATAGAGGGAATGTAAAGAAGTAGGACCTACCAGTACCGCTCTCCAACTACCAACAGTCTAGCTGCTATGGTTCAAAATTTAGAGTCATTGGCAGTTGGGGAATCAAAAGCATACAGTTGTGAGAAAATCTCGATTTTGCCCCATATCTCAAAATATGGAGTGCAACAAGCGACTTATTTAGTTGTGTCAATACATAAATGTATGTAGTACAATTGTACAAAAATTGAGTTTTACTTCTCCTCTTAAGTAATGGGTTCTGGATTATTTTGGTATAAAAAAAGAGACTTTACTTTGATTGTAAAGCTCATAGAGTTGAGTGGGAATTTCCGCTATACAACAGCTATCTATCATTATTATTATCATAACTTCCTCTAAAAATGTGTTTGATTTTTGTCAGTGTTTGAAGTTTAGAACAGTTAAGAATACATCTTTATGAGTGACATACCTGAAAGGCAGCTGGTGAGGGGAGTGTGACATAACCTGAACAATAAATAGCGCACAGGAATCGACTGACGTCTCAGACATGCCACGCGCAACTAGGGGAAGCATCTGAGTGAATTCTCGGAACAAACTTGCTGGATGTCGGAGATCAGACACCGAGGATATCTGAAATAAAATCTTTCTTCAATCACACCTTCTAGTCGATGCGTCTCACATTTGTTTGTTTGTTTGTTTGTTTGCGTAAAGTGAAGCACATCGATACAATAATGGTCATTTAGTGCAGACAGAAACAACAGAGGGAAAGTAAAGAAGTAGGACCTACCAGTGGAACCCTCCAACCACTCTTTGCTTCTCACAACACTACTGACAATATTTTTGTTTGTCGGAGCCAATCCAGTCTTTTTTTTTTTTTTAGTAGAGGGTTTTACAGCGCTCGCAACTGCATAAAGTCATATGAGCGCCAAGGGGTGGGTGCCAACAGAGAAGTCTTTACAGGGAATCAGACTCACCTCTTTAGCTTCAACAGTACAAAGTCTACTTCGACTATCAAGGCACCCCGGAAATAGCAGGTCAAAAGAGTGTGACAAACATACAGAAGAAGTAGAGGAAAATGACAATAGTAAGGAACAGGAAAGAAAACGCAGCAGATCCCTGTTGTAAATCAGGCACAGTTATGAGCGTGACATGAATCAGCCCATTTACAATTCTGTATTACCTGTCCTGGGCAACAGCGTCATTGCACACCGGACAGGTCCATAAGTGCTCAGTTCCCCCAGCACCAAAGCCCGCAAGGTATCCATACTGATTGTTCCGGTGGCTGTCTGATTATGGCGACGTCTTTCCTTTCCAGATAATCGTTCCTTTCTTCCTTCTCCCCTCTCTATCCCCATTTCCCGCATCCTAATGATTGCATGGTGTTCTGCTGTCTCCTTGTCTTCTTCATCCCGCAACTTTTTCTCCAGGGTCTTCAACACTTCTCCTTTGTCAAATTTCACCTCACCATCAACCACGGCACTGCCTGCCAGCCTATCAGCCTCCTCATTGCCTTTCACTCCAGAGTGCCCAGGACAGAATATCCATGTGATGGCTCTAAGTGATGAGTGTTGTATTGGGTTCATCCATCCACTCCGAGAGTCCGTGACAATGATGAGATGAGTTGTTCTTGGTCTTGTATTATGAAGCCATCCAAGCGCTCTTGCTACGGCCTCAATCTCCATTTTCATGCTTGAAGTTGTTCTTTCTATGGCCCCTGACATGCCATGAACCTTTTTGTTCCCACTGTACACCACAAAACCCCATCCACTTCTCTCACCCCTCCTGACTGATCCATCCGTATAGATCACTGGGTCCTCTGGCTTGGAATGCTCCTCAGTTAACTGTCGTATATCATTATCGTTAATGACAGCAGCACATTCCCGTCTTTCACGACCCATAGTGATGTGAACGTTGGCCAGGCTTCTGCAATCGAGGCTCAGTTCAAACCAATCTTTTCCATAGCATATTTCATCGATGCCACAAACTTTCCTCAAGGAGTCTTCGGCTTCTGCCATCCATGAGCTGCCCCGTTTGATCCTGTTTCCGTTGATGCTGCCCAGGTTGTCATGCAAAGGGTGCCTTGGGTCTCCCAAAACATTCAAGTACAGCTTTGCCTGTGCCACCTTATGCCTCACTCTGATGCTGGCCAGGTCAAGGATGTATCTCATACAGACAACATGGGTGTCCTTTGTGCAACCTAGAACGGCCCTCATAGCTGCATTCTGTACTCTCTCCAACCTGTCTATCTGAGTCTTGGACAGGGAGAGGATGCCCAGCCCATAGTCTATGACTGACAGAACCACCAGCTGCATTAGGAGAAAAAGAACTCTGTTGAATTCCCGCTGAAGCCAAGGTCTTCACTACATTGATGCCCTTCTGAGCCCTGACAGCAACATTGTCAATATGTCCTCGGAATGAAAGTGTCCTGTCCAGAGTGATTCCCAGGTGAGGTACTTCAGCTCATGCTGTCTGTCTATGAGAAAGTGGTCAAACACAATTGGAGAGGTAGGATCTTTCACAACACGGTTGTTGAGTGAGCACCAGATGACCTGTGCTTTGTCTGGATTGATGACTGCATTGTATTCCTCGCACCAATCTGCGACCTTGTTCAGCCTGTCCTGTAGCATCCGTCCAACCGCTAGCCTATCGCGACCTTGTCCGTAGACCATCACATCATCTGCAAATGTGAGAATTCTTCCTGCTCCACTTACACCGATCCTGGCAATTTTGGATGTATATATGTTGAATACAACCGGTGGTAATGCTGATCCTTGTGGCAGTCCTGAGGCAATCACTACTGGGTCTGACATCCATCGCCCACTTCTCAGCACCACCTTCCTCTTAAACAGAGCTTCGGAGATCCATTGTATCAACCAGGGGTCAACATCCATTTCCATCAGGAGACCCATGAGCTTGCCGTAATCAACTCGGTTGTAAGCATCCTCTAGGTCTATAGCAGCCATTGCTGTCTCCTCCTTTCTCTGGGACCCTTCAAATACATCATAGGCTAACACAGCCGTGTTTGTGCAGGTGTCTTTCCCTGGTCTGTAGCTTCCAAGGCTTTTTCCTCTCTAGGTAAATTGCCAGCCTTTTGGCCACAATCTTTTCCAGGATCTTTCCATACGTGTTCTGCATGGTGATGATTCTGTATCCCTTGATGTTGGAGTGTCTTTGCCTGGTTTGGGAAGAGGCATGAGATAGCTGTGTAGCCACTCCTCTGGGATCTTGCCTCTGGCCAGACTCTCCACCATGCCCTGTAGATCTTTTTCATCTGCATCCTTAAAATGGCTGTATCTCACCCCATCAGGCCCTGCTGCACTATCCTTCGTTCCAATTATGACCCGTTTCACTTCCTGTATTGTGACACCCTCTCCATACTGCACCTCTGGCACAGCAGTCTTCATAATTGCCCTGATGTTAGCACGCTCCTCCATGTCGCCTTGGTGAGTCTACTTGATGTACCTCTCAAGGAAAGCCCGGCCTTTTGCTTCATCTGTCTCCAGTAGCCTATCGTTCTCATCTTTAACAGACAGACAGCCAGCGTCAGTCCTTAATACCTTCATTTTTCTGTGCAATTTCTAAAACCTGTGTAGCGCCTTCTCCGATGACACCTCGGTCACGTACTGCTCCCATCGTTCCTGCTTGGCCTCATTTGCACTTTCCCTGAAAAGCCGCCCATCTCTTTTTATCCGCTCTCTTAGAGTATTCTTCTCCTCGTCTGATACCTTATCCGATTTCCTCGCCCTTTGCAATTTACAATTCTAATGTGCAAGAATGAGAAATGTCCCCCCTTTGGGAATGGCCTAAAGACACTACAGTCAGTGGCACTGCCACGGGGGGTAAATCCAGGCTGAGAGGTACAAAACATCCCAGCTGACAGAAAGAGACACACAAATAAATAAAAGCTTTCCAAAGTGGGAACCAAGCTCATGTCTTCTGTGAGCAATGGCGAAGAGTCTGATGATAGTGATCACTACACAAAAGATGCCAGTACTAGGGATTTTTCCAACACATTTTTTTTTCTTTTCAGTAAGAATTTTATGGCACTTGCAACACATACAAATCATATAAGTGCCAAAGATTACAGGTGTTACTAAAGTGTATCATACAAAGAAAGGAAGATGGAGAGATAAGTACAAAAGATATTGATAGATAAGAAGGAGCAAACCTCACCACAGTGCCTTCCAACCACCCACCTCTCACCAAAGAAGATAAGCAAAAAAACACAACAAAACAAATAAGGCAAAACACAAAACTAACTCTTACAAGACCTTTGAAGAACCTGTCTTATACAAAGAACCAAGAGAACATTACAAAAAATAAAACAATCGCCAGGTAAGGAAAAAAAACGTTTCCCATATCTTTGTACAGTTCTGTCCTGCCATGTCAACTCATTTGAGCCTATTCCTGTTTATTTATGGGACACGCCTGCCACCTGATGACTGAATTCTGTGTACAGTCAAACCTGCCTTAACGGAAACCTGTGTAAAACGGAAACCTGTCTTAACGGAATCTCCCCGCTCCCCCCTTGATACATTCCTCTTTAATTACCTGTATAAAACAGAAACCTGTCCAACGCGGAAACGGAAAGAAAAATCCGCTCCCTTCCGAGGGTTTCACCTGTCTAAGACGGAAAATGCTTTGCCCGTTCAGCCCTGATTTGAAACAAAACTCACAAGTTTGATTCCGTCCGATCTAAACTTAACTCCATGGCCATGCCGCTGGGGGTAGGGGTGCAATGGGGGTAGAGTAGAAGTTACCCTAAGTTACCCCATCATGTGAGCACTGAGCGCAGCAGATGGTCAGTGTGATATCTCACGACTGCCCGTGAGAGTGCTCGAGTAGCCAGCCACTACGGAAACTTTCCTGGGTAGCCAGAAGTCAGAGGTGTGAAATTAGATTGACCAATGCCTGCCGCCCTGATCGTACGGCCTGCTGAGAAAAGAGTTCCTCGAATCGTTGTTACAATGATGGCAGTGAGGGGTGGCATTGGTGGGTGGGACTAAGGGTGGAAGCAAAGGAGGTGTTCAAACGTTTCTGTTTTTAATAGGTCAAACAGTGGTCATATGAAAGGCAAGCACTGATGGTAATTGGATAAGTAAGACTGACGCATGTCACTATCAGACAGGAGAGCAGCTGAGAGGTGTGAAGTTTTGATCACTGCTTGCCGATCGGACAAGAGATCCTTGATCCCACCGGCTGGGCCTTTGAACACCCCCCCCCAAATTCCCATGTATAAGACGAAATTTTTTCCCCGCTCCCTTGCGATTCCGTCTTACACAGGTTCGACTGTATTTACGGGATGTGCTTTTAGTTTAGTTTCAGTGCTAGATTTACGGCACTTGCAACACGATAAGGTCATATAAGTGCCCAAGATTAGAGGTGTTACAAAAGAGTTACAAACACAAAAAAGAAAAAAGAAAGAAGAAGCAAACCACACCAGAGCACCTGCCAACCACCCACCCATGTGACTTATTCCACCAAACAGGAACAAAGAAAGCCCTTACATTTCCCTCCCACAGCTCATACACAGTGACTTATACCATCAACCAAGAACAAAGAAAGCCCTTACATTTCCCTCCCACAGCTCATGAACGGTTATTTATTCCAACAAAAAAACCCCAAAAAACAAAGAAAGCCCTTACATCCCACACCTTTTGAACGGTGTCTCATTCCAACATACAATAACAAAGACAGCCCTTACATTTCCCTCCCACAGCTCATGAACGGTATCTGACGTCAGCCTCTGACCATCCAGATGTGAAGACACAAAATCCTCAATGGCAACCACAAAGTCCTGTCCAGCCAGGGCGACTGGGCGGTCAGCAGATGCCTTTTCTCCTCTCTGAAGCAACAGACGAACCTTGGTGCTGGTGTCAACATGCTGCGGAATAGATTTTGTAACAGTTAGAAGGATAGATCATGTGACCATTAGAAGACTAGGTCATGTGATAGTTATATATACCAGGTGACTGTAAGAGGAATAGGTCATGTGACCATTAGAAAAACATGTGACCACTAGAAAAAAAAACATGTGCCTGGTAACGGAATAGATCCTGTGATTATTAAAGGAATAGTTCATGTGACCATAAATGGAATAAACCGCATGACGGTTAGAAAAACAGGTCATGTGACTGTCAGAAAAACAGGTCACGTGACTGTTAGATGAATAGATTATGTAACCGTTTGAAGAATAGACCACACCTAAATCACAATATTTTACCTTTAGATTTGTATTTTAACTAAGTAAATCTAAACACTAAAATGTAAAGCATCCAAATGAAATGACATACAGTTTTTTTTGTGGTCCCCTGGGAAGATTCCTTTTAATGGACACACATTTAGAGTGTTACACTGACATTATGGCCTTTAGCACATAATGCAACCTTTCGAAGATACTGTGGTGTATTTGGTTGTTTTTGGTTGTGGCAGGGGGTTAGGCCTAGCCTATTGTATTGTTTGGCTGAAAGTGTGAGAGTGAGTAAAGTGTGAGTCTGTGTTCAGTTGTATTGTTTGCAAGTTGATAAAAGTCTGAGTTACTACTGGTGGGACTTTGAGAGGAGAGATTTGTATCAAGGCAGAGGAGGCCTGCTGAAAGTATAGGTTGTGAAAAAGGCTAGTTAGAGCCTCGGTTCAGTTTTGCATGAAGTGTGAGATTCCAATCCAACACATCGGGGCCCCAAAGCTGCGGAAAGAATCACAACACAGAGCAGAGGAACAGGTTTGGCTAATTCCTGTTATAGTAGCATGTGACAGAAGGTTAGTAGTGATAAATCTTTGTTTTATGTTCCAAGTAACAACAGATACACTGACCCAAAAGGGACCTGATTTAGAATCATTAACGAAATCGAAATTTGTTCTTCCTCTTCAAGTGCCAGACCTGCAACAGAGATGAGGCATTGTGGTTTGCTTCTCATTCCTCTGCTCCAATGCTCTTTAAAAAATCTATATCAGCCTAGACCCCAAACAACCCAAACCATATCGTCTGTTAGTAAAATTGAAATTGTTAACACACTAAAAATATAAAAGAATACAATGATCAGAGGAAGGAAACAATTCTGGCAACGGTCAGAGAGTTCGTGGGTGAAAGTTCAAAGACATAAAAAATCCTGAAGATGTAGGATGGGAATTTTCAAAAACCTGAAAGTCTTCGTACAGAAAGATAAGATGGCAAAGCCAACAAAACACATGCAAAAAATAACAAGGGTTTAATAGTACATGAGGTTTATCCCCAAAGAGAGGATGGGGGCCTTTTCGGGACTACTGTCCTGCTTCATTTTGCATGTTGCGCCGTCGCCGGTTTTTACACACGTACGTGCTGGCCCCAGTAAAAAAAACCCGGCAGACCTAGGTCTGTTGAGGTTTTAAAAAATGCCGGGGCTGGCATATGCCTGCGAACTTTCACTCATGACAGAGAGGGCCACTGGTAGATCCTCCTCCTCTAATTTCGACCCGTTATTTCTGTCTGTCTATCATACTCTTTACCACCACTTAATAGCCATTGTTGTGTCGATGTGTTTCTCTTTACTAACAATAAACTCAGTCCTGAATACAAACATGACTAAAACAATAGCACACTGACCTTGTACAATTTTCTCAAACCAGCTCGCAATTTCTTCTCCTCTTTCGTCTTTCCCTCTGATGCAGGGGTTGAGCTAGAAGTCTCCCTCCATTTGGGACTCAACATGGATTTGAACAGAGACCACACAGATACAAGTTCCATGAGCTCTTTTATTCCCTGAAAGAGCTGTAAAACAAAGTAGAAGTTATGATTACACAAAGATGGTCAGAATAATAGATAGAGAGACATCTGATCATTTTGTTTGTTAATGTATGGGGGGGGGGGGGGGGTTTTTAATCCCCCCCCCCCCCCCCCTCCATTCTTATCCCAACAATAATCTGTTTCAATTTCCGTATCCTCCACAACAGTAGGTATATCTTTCTCCAGTCGTCCCACCAAAACAACACTCTGTCCATCACCACCCTCCTCACTCGAACCCTTCCCTCACCTCTAAAATAATAAATTATCCTCCACAACAACAGGTATGAGATCCAACTTCCCCAGTTTTCCCATCAACACCACCCTCTCTCTGCCCTCATCTCTCCCTCCCCTAACCTCTCCCTCCCCTTCCCTCTCTCTCCCTCGCCTCTCCCTCCCCTCACCTTTCTATCCTCCATCGCGGAAGGAATGAGAACCTCCGTCTCCAGTCGTCCCACCAACACCACCACTTTGTCCATCACCACAGAAGCTGTGCGCTGGTCAAACACTGACGAATTCTCCAGAAGAAATGTGTACAGTTTCAGGGTCCAACTCAAATCACTCAGACCCCTACTCTTTTCTGTGAGGAAAATAAAGGAGGGGGGAGAATTTAAAGAAAGAGGAACATATTAAAAAGAAATAAAATAAAAATAGGTATTTTGACTTGACTGATAAGGATAAAAATAATTATCATTATTGGAAAAAAAAACCGCGTCTTAATCCATGGTTTAATAGTATACGATTTAATAAAAGTAAATTCAATTTATCATTCCATTTAATCCAAAATAATTGCTTTACACCCCCCACTGACACAATTTAGATCCTGCACGGGGCACACTGCTTCAGTTCTTTCTGTCAGGACAAATGCCGACTAAAAGGGATGCAACATTCCATCAGACAGATACAAACACTCAATAAAAGACTTCTAAATACTTGAATCAAACTCATGTCTTCAGTGTGTAATAGCTATGAACCTATCTGATACTAGAACTGGGCAATGAGTCGCTTTAGCAAAATCCGGAATATATGTTAGTGCACCCCTTCGGCAAATAATATGATACAACCGCTTCTGCAAATGGGTTAGAACCACTTCGACAAACGGGTTAGCATCACTTCAACAAATGAGTACACCCACTTCGGCAAGCAGGTCAGGAAAGTGAGTTCCCATTGCTAATTATCCGGTTGTTCGGATAAATTATCAGGACTTTGCCCACCTCTATCTGATACACGGTAAACATACAGCATTATCGAGACATAAACAGCCAATAAAGTATCACAACTTACCAGTAACGCCCTCCCAACCACCCACATTACTTATCTCCCACCCGGCAGAGACACCCTTCAATCACCAATTTAAATTTCTCCACCCCCAACAGACACCCTCCAACCACCTATTTACATTTCTCCACCCCCAACAGACACCCTCCAACCACCCACTTTACCTTTCTTCGAACCGGCAGAGACACAAGACGAGATCTGTTTGACTAGAGACTTTTGCAGCATCTCCCACAGCTCCAACAAGGTCGTGCTTGGAACGTTCCGGAACATCCAACACAGGCTTGTGGTGGGGAGGTGATCATTTGGGGGGGAGATAGGGGAAGATAAGAGACAACAACGTCAATGATATATTCATTTCATTCTTTATTTTTAGCTCGGTTTTAGAAAGAACTTTGCAGCATTTACAAGACAAATCTAGGTCTTACGAGTGCTTAAGATAAGAAGTATTACTAGAGACAAGGTTCCTGCCATGAACTTCCCACCAAATTCAAGGAGATTTCAAGGAGAAATTTTAAAAATTCAGGGAGATTTGGTCAAGAAATTCATGATGAAAGCCTATTTCCCATAGGCCTACACTTATCCGAAAGAAATCATAGTTCCGATTTTCCTACAAAAGTCTGTTCCAGGGTGACTGCCACCCCGGCTTCTCTCAATTTTCCAGGGGGGCATATCCATTTTCCAGGGGCATGTTACATAACAATGACAGTGCATGCTCCATTTATATATCGTCCCTGTAAGTTTCTAAATGCGTAATTCCGTTGAGGCAAATTTTACAGGAGAGACAAAAAACGTAATAAATAGTAAAAACAGAATGCAAATGTACTGGTCTTTCTACATCTTGTAAAGAATACTTCTATGTATACAACTGTCAATGTGAAAATTCTTTTGTTTTTGAAAATTAATCATAAAACAGACTTACGTGTTTAGAGACTCCAAATTTGAAACATTTAAACGCGTAAATCGAACCTGTTGACTTGCGTAATAAATTGGAGCAGAAAGTTTGTAAGGTCTACTCGCGTAAGTCTGCGGCAGGGGGCCGTGGTTAGCCATACGTGTTTAGAGGTTTCATTATTTTAACATGTGGCTTGTGAATCAATGACTTACTTGTTTACAGTACGAATCTTTCAGTTTATTTATTAGAAAAACTATGCAAAGGACTTTGAAGAAATAAGGCAGATTGGTTTCATAGATTCTAGGTGCAATTAACTTTGCAAGTAATATTGATTGATCGAATTAATTGGTATATTAACTATACTTCTGGTTGATATTATTCTTATTTCCCAGTCCTTTCACACTTACAACACAAATCGACAGTAGGTCTATTATAAGTAAGAGGATTATGACGAAAGACAACAGAAGAAAACCCTTAGAATGACAAAGTGTAGCTTGTGTGCGAAGTAGCAAAGGAGCAGCCTTCCAATCACCCAACAAATTACGAAAAGGAGCCAGTTCATTCTTTCAGGAACATTTTCAACTGTATTAAAGTAATGCTGTAACTGTAACACATGATATAATATAACAGAACATTTTACTTAATCAAAAACACATCAATTCAATATCACCATGTAGAAATTTAAAATGATTCCATATTTTTTCATTCAACCTCCCCCGAAAAAAAAAATCCCTAAGAAGACTTATTCAAGTTCATGATCCAGAACTATATAAAATAAAGAACTGCCTGAAAAAACAATTATCTAACCAGTATTCGTAGCCGTGAGAAGGAAAAGGTGGTGCTGGGTTGGACATGTCCTTAGAATGGACCCAAATGTCACTCCCAGGATAGCCAGAGGAACAAAAAAAGGGGGCCACCCTTCGGAGAAGGAGCATTGAACAGGAGATGAAATCCAAGGGATGGTCATGGGGACAGATCAAGAGATTGGCCTTAGACAGGGAGAGATAGCGTCCCGCCGTATCAGCCTTATGGGCTGCGCAAGCACCCTCAAGATAACAAGAAGAAAATTTATATAATAATTGTATACGAAATTGATTGCTTTGATAAAGTGTATTGTTGAGGACATTCCCGATTCAGTCTTGTTTCAACTTGTTATAAAATGCCCAACATTCCAATGATATTACTGATTTCAGTGCTTGCAAATGTTTGAATTTGACATTTGAGATGCTCCTGTTGGCATAAAACAGCTTCTTGGGAGTGGCAATCAGTGCTGTAGACTGATTTCTTTTCTCTGGAAACTCTGACCATTCGTCCCCGAATCCAAGGTTATACTATCATGAAGAGTATTTTTCTATCAAGCAGGTATTTCAGAGCCCTGATGTCAGTAACTGTAGCATCCCCAGCTTTCTATCATGGACGGATGCAACTAAGGGTGTTCACACCATCAGAATTTGAAAAGAATGTGTGAGTCAAATACTCCACAGAGTGCGAAAATGGCTTTCTTCGGGCTTCTTCAATTAATCGAACATAGTCGATAGGAAGGAACATCTTCTTATTCTTGATTCGTCTTTCGATAACGCGGTGGACGTTATCCACCTCCATCATCGTGTGGCCCCTCTCAAGTATTTTCTGCTCTACTTCCTTGTCATGCATCACGGAGAACATGGAAAGAGCAGTGGCTAATGTTTTGTTTCTGTTCTGAAAAGTACATCCATCGGAATAGATGATGTACCTATCAAAAGACAGATCACTTTCCAGGTAATCCACAATGCATGAAGCAAATTCGTGAGCAGACAAGCTCCCTTTCGCCTCGTGCTAGACATAGCATTGGACACCATGTGACTATAAATCAAATATTGTGAAGTTATGGACACAGAGTCTGGTCCTATAGTATAATGCCGATGCTTTCAGCATGGGGCAAAGCAAAACTGACTGTAGATCCACAGTAATGACCTTTGTTGTGTCCTTATTTTGGACCATTTCCTCATCTGCTGCCATCTCTTGCTGTGCCCTTTCTTTCTTTTGCCCACGAGCCAGATATGTCTTCATCGACATTGCCTTCATCAGAGATCATACTGATCATCAGAGATCATACTGATCTTTGCGCGGTTTGAAAAGAGAAAGATTCATTTTCTGTAATTCATCGGCAAAAATTGGACGAGAAAGAGCCTCCATCTTCTTTTCTTTACATTTTGTTTCATAGAGACGAAATAGATCGGTCCTGCAATGGAAAACTGCCTCTAAATATAGCCTGGAGCTTTTCTTTCGGCAATAGTGAGACTCCGTTTTAGGCAGACTTTCAAGGAAGGGTCGCAGATGTAATCGCGCATCAGAGTCAGATGCTAGTCTCCGAGAAGACTCATTCCCTGTTGATAAGCCATCACCTGGTCCTCCGCGATGGTGTCTCACATACCGTACCATTCCTTGAGTCCTATTGTAGACCAATACGTCTGACAGCAGACCCTGAATCTGCCTCTACTGGTTTTCAGAAAATACTGCAGGGACGTAGTCCTACAGGATGCTGCAGACGCTGCTTTTTTCTGTTTGGCTGGCACCTTGCATACATGTCTTGGCAAAAATACACCATTCTCTGGCCAGGGCGGCGACAATAAGAAATAAAATATTTCCTACCTCTCTTCTTCTGTGATATTCGAACACTGATTACACTTGACCTTGCAAGAGCATCTTTCCTCGAAGTTCTTCTATCCTTTTCAACGTTCTCAAACCCTTTATCGACTTCCTTCATAAGATTGCCCTGCTTCACGTTTCTTGAGTTCACAAATCTCTCCCAGTTTTCTCTTCCAAGCTTTCTCTTCTTTCCATTGATTATTCTCACATTATCGCTGTCGTTTCCATCACCACATGATCGATCAACAAGAACCTGACCTCTATCAACATATATATTGGAATCAACATGTTCGCCTCTCTGGTCAGTGACATTCAAATCCAAATCTTCATCATACATGTTGAAATCAATAATTTCACCTATAGGATCAGTGCCATTTAACAACTCAAAAGCTTCAATTCTACCATCATACATATTGGAATAAAAAAACTTCATCTCCACCGTCATATGCATTCGCATTATGATTAAGAACATTTTTTCTGCTGCAATCAGCATTCACAAAAAGAGACCCATATCTACCATCACACACCTTCACATCATGAGCCTTATCTCTAGCATCACATATTTTCACACCAAAAACCATTTCTCCACCATCATTTACATTCATATCTATTTCTCCATTACCGTGTATAGACATACTCAAATCAAGAACATTCTGAAAATGACTAGATCTATCGTCTCGCTGGTCAGCAGCAGTTTCAGTGACTACTTTCTTCCCCATAGCCTCATTGTGATCAAAATACACTAAATCACTGCTATTCACTGACATGTCTACAAATGAGTCAATGATATATCCCAAAAATTGTCTAGTGGTTCATACAGAGAAGACTCATGGGCATGTCCCTCTGAGGAGTGAGGACGGGCATTTCCCTTAGAGAGGTGCTGGGTATGTGCCCTGGACTGTGGTCATGGAGGCTTCACTGGAGGGTTTGCTGCTACCTTTTTAGACAGCTGTAACAGTTTGTGAAAAGCGGTTCTTGACTGAAATGTAAATAATAATATAAGTTATTAAATGTATAATAAAGTATGCTTCTTCTAAAGTAAAAGTAAATTTGAATGTTTCAAAAAATAATCCTCATTTTCAATGGTGTTTGACTTTGGGAAACATTTATCTTATAGCAGGATGAAATATAATAACGATCAATCCACATTGCTGAGATACATCTATGACTAATTAAAACCCAACAATTAATCAACATTGATGAGATCTAAACCTGTGACTAACAATACATAATAATTAATCTATATTTACGAGATCTAAACGGTGTCAATGGGCTTAATCTTTCACATGAAAACTAAACGCGTCGTAAGTCTTGACAATCTCCATGCAAGTCACCATGAAGCTTACATAATTATGGGCGACTTTGTAAGCTCTAAACACTGATGTCACAATGTATCACACAAAACAAAGATTTATTTAAATAAACACATAATAATTTCGAAAAGTATCTTACATACACATCTTAATATGAGGGAAGAAACGGTATAACTCACCTCTAGGCTGTTACTTGAACCAAAAATGAAACAAAATTATTGTTTTAAGCGAAGGTGCTGGGCTGGGACTTCTGCGTTTAGAGTTTCAAATCAAGGTGAAATCCTGTTACACGCGTTTAGAATCCGTGACAAAAAGTGCAATTTTCATTTGTTCAATGACTTTAATATTTATAGAGGAGGTGGGGAAAACCTATTGGAGTGAAATAAAACCTAAATATTATTTTCCAAAATTCCGGACTTACGCGTTAAGAGACTTAAACGGACGATA